TTCAAATAAATGATTTTATGAACAATCCACACTTGTACAACAGGCATATTGGCATCAGGTATATCAACATTTCACAACAAAGGAAATCAATGCAATGCCTTCGTGGATAAACAGAGAGAAAAACAGAAATAGTTCTCACTCTTTATGCTCAACAAGAATTGTAGATACTTCAACTTTTAGTGAAATACAGCAAGCAGCTTATGATATTGTTTTCAATTATTTTAGTAACGTTGAACAAAATCCTTTACGCCTTCTTATTATGGACGTTGCAGGAACAGGAAAAAGTTATGTAATTGATTCCTTAAGGAATTTGCTTCAGACAAAATGTAGGGTCTTAGCTTACACAGGAAAAGCATCTTTCAATATTAATGAAGTCACCCTACATCCATTGCTTACATTACCTCTTGGCACAAAGAGAAACTGATTTAAAAGGTATACCTTTGCAACTGCTTCAAACTAATCTCGAGAATGTTCAGTACTTAATAATTGATAAATACTCTTTTGTTGGCCAGAGTTTGTTAGGATGGATTGATAGTCATTGCAGACAGGCTACTGGACGGACAGTCACCACTTTTGATGGTATTTCTATTATTCTTGTGGGTGACATAGCTCAGTTACCACCTGTAGGTGATAAAACACTTTATCATTCTCTGCCAAAACCAGAAAAACAAATGCAAGGTCTTCTGCTGTGTCATGAGTTCAAGAATGTTGTTAAATTAACTGGTAATCAGAGAGTTCAAGGAAGTGATATTGAGCAATCCAAATTTTTAGGACATTATTGACCTGAGCTCGTTATGGCGCGTCAACTATGTCAGACTGGCAGTCATTAATTTTTCGAACTCCAGATAAAGTGAATAATGTTAATGATTTCAGACAACATTCAGTAAGACTTTGCTACCGCAAAGAAAAAGTTGCAGAATTAAACATGAGTAAACTTAAAAGTTTGAATCAACCGATAGCCATGATTAAGGCACGTCACTCTCTTGGTGCACAAACTCTTAGTGCTGATGACATGGGGGGCCTCGAGCCTGTTATTTACTTGTCAAAAGGTGCAAAAGTCATGTTAACTATGAATCTCTGGACTGATGTTGGTCTTTGCAATGGAGCAATAGGGACAGTACTTGACTTTGTTTATGCTGAGGGTGAGCAACCTCCATGTCTTCCTATATGTTTACTGGTTCAGTTTGATGAGGAATGCAAAGGACCTTCAGTTTCTTCTATGTTTCAACTATGTGTTCCAATTTGTCCTATTACCCAAGTTTCTGGAAGCTTAGGACAAAGATATGAAAGACAGCAATTGCAATTAAGAATAGCCTGGGCAATGACTATTCATAAATGCCAAGGTCTAACCCTCAGTAAAGCTTGGATTGATTTAGGGTCATCAGAAAGAACTCTTGGAATTACATATGTTGCTTTAAGTAGGGTGAAGAAAACTCAAGATCTCATTATTGAACCAGTGACACTACACAGATTGCAAGCTGTAAAAAAGTTGACTAATTTTAAAACTAGTAATACACTCCTCATAAAATGTTCCTTTAGTTAGAGATCAAAATAAAAAGATTTTGATCTACTGTCCCTGTAGTAACTGGTGGCAAATAATGTGGGCAAACCTTTCAAGTATCATCTTTTTTTTGGAGAACAACAAATGCTTTGCGCTAAGAAATAAAGCCTCAATAGTTAAACATCCTTTTGCTACAGCGTATATATGGTTTACAGATATTTTTGGTATGTTGTTTTCAGATCTCCAACCAATTAAGTCATGTCAACAATAAATAATTTTATGCCCCCTTGCCCGCTTGTCTTTTATACCCTTATTATAAAGAGAACCTTTGGCTAAATTCTGGGGTCATATGTCGAGCTATGTTTGCAAGAAAGCTTAAAGAAATGAGGGACAGCGATGTGTTTGGGTATAATTTTGACCACGCAAGATGGCCGATTTATTGATTAAAGATAACATCTTCAAACAAATTTAATTAGCTATGATTATCTGATTTTTTATGCTCTGGCAAAGGTGAAGGCGGAGAAAGAAGGCACCCAGAGTAAATAAACTACTTATTAAGAAAGCGGCGGAGGAAGGGAGGAGGAGGGTCAAATTCGCAAAGCTTGTTACGTCAGGAGACCAAGAGGAAGACTTCGGGGTACACAGCTTGTCTTATACCCTAACCTTAAATGACGTTGACGCCAAGTACTTTTCCGAACGAGCTCGTGACTAGTAGTTTTACAGCAAGTAATATTCCGGCAAGTAATTTACCAGCTAGTGATTTCCCGGCTAGTTATTTTCCGATTGATCTCGTGATAATCGTGTGATCAATACTTCACTATTTTGTGTCAAATTGGACCCTGGTCACAGTTCTTCCCTGCCGATTATCTATGTTAAAGGTGAATGCGTGACTAGTAATAAGTGCCCCTCTTAGCAAACTAACATAAATCATTGCGTGACTAGGTGACATAAACATTTTTATTTGCAGGCAAATAAATTCCTATTTTAAGGTTTTAACCCCAAACTTAATAAAACAGGAAGCATAATCCTGTTTTCTTCAGTGCAGAGGGTGGGGGGAGGTGACCTGACAGTTGCTGCAGAATTGAGTACTAAAAAATTGGAATTGTCACATTTCCTTCAATTCATTACCTGAAGCAGCCCTTCATAATCTTCACACTAAAGTCTACTTAAGGTTTTCTGACCATATTTGGTTTCATAAAGATGGAAAATTGTATTAACTTGTTGAACATTAATATTTCACATTTGTTACCTCACTTTAATTTTTATTTCCCCTTTCTTAGATAATCACCGTGGCTACATTCAGAATTTAAGCCCCATTAAACGCTCACGAAATCAAAATCATTCGTTCGATTTTGACCTCCAAACCAGCCCATCCAAGTTGAGAAGAGTTGTGGGATTTAATATTGCAAGCCACTCCACATTACAAGAACATGAAGCATCAAAAACAGCTGTAACCCTTTAAAACACTAAGGAAAATGACAATAATCAAATCATATTCAACCAACAATCAATGGTCAGGGTGGCGCCAACCTTTGACTTTGTTTTTGACTATCAGCCCATCCATCAATCTCAAAAGACTGCTCTCTCAGCGCTAGCTCAGCCTGCAAAAAAGATTACACCTGAAGAGCTCTCCACACTTCAAGTCAATCAGAAAGTGAATGTCACTGCTTCAATTTCACTGGGAAATGAAAAGTCGAAACCAGTCCAACTGAAAACATCAAAGGAGATGACATCAGTGAAGGAAGATTGTGTTCTAGAAGATGAAACTGGAACTGCAACTATTCATGTATGGGATCCACTTATTAACAAGATCAAAAGTGGCACCACATATGTGATTGAGAACCTTTCTGTAAAACACTTCCAAGGAATCACCCACGTGCAACAACCTTTAAAGAGGCTGATCGCCAGCTGAAAACTCTAAATGGCCCTGTATTACTCCAAAATCCTGAGAAAGAGGCAAAAGTAGAAGGATTTACGATGATAAACAAACTAGGTATTTATATTACCTGCCAAGCATGCAAACGAAAAATGAACGAAATCTCCCAACAGAAATCACTCAAATGTAAAAACTGTGGAGTACGACAGAGGCAAGCAGAGTGCAAACTACTTGTACATTTGGATGACAAAGATGTCTGGTTAACAGCATTTACAGATGTTCTGGAATCCCTATTCGCCACCCACCCAACTATCTCCCTACTAAGTGACTCGGATACCATTGAGGAACTGCTAATGGATACAAAAAACATCGAGTTCACATACAATATGAACAGAAAAGTGATCACAAAAATACCATCATCTTCACTAATTACAGGTTAAACTGCTCTCCTGGATAGTGTTCTTACTACAAACTTTACAAAGGATCATTTGATCAAAACATTCAGTTTCGTTTTTTATTGTCCTTCATCACATTGTTGACCAAAATTAATGATAATATATTTACAATGTCTTTTTTGGTTGCGATTTTACAACAATTATCAACCATTTACACGTTCAAGTTATTAGTTGTGTTACTTGAAATATTTTTAACCAGACAAATGCTTTAGTATGTTTCTGTTCAGAAAGATGTAATTACATATGACCCCATTCTTTATGTGGAACAAGGGAATAGATCTCCTTATGCCTTAAAAAAGAAAACTTTCCCATCTAAATGGCAACCACCATTTTATAACAACAAAAAACGTTGTCTCCCCACCTTCCTGCAACACTGGCTTTACTTCATATATAGCACAGTGTAAATATGACCTAATATGTGCAAATATGTGTTTTAAAAAACATTATGTAACACTTGTAAAATTGAGATTCAAATGTATTTAACATTAATCAATAAATGGTTCAGATTTTCAAAAAAGAAATGTTTCTTACCGATACCTCCCTCTGCGAAGCTGATTTTATTCTTTCAAAAAGATACTTCATTACATTTCAAACTTTTATATAGCGCTTCGTAAAGCAATAAAAATACGACAGCCAAGTCTTCTCCACAACCTTGATACATTCATAACACCTTTTCAAGTAAATGATTTTTGCATTGGGAGAAGACCTGAGAAACTCTCAAATGCAAAATACGTATTTTTTGGCTCGTTGGCACTCTATCGATAGGTATACCTAGTTTAACACTAACTGGAAACTACTGGCATAATTCTAACCATCCTGTCCCAAGAAACTTGTGTTTGTCATGATTTCAAAGCGGAAAGAAACCAATAATATTGTTTGTGACTGTAATTTAAACTCATTTTCAGAGTCTTTGTTATTATATTGACTCAGACTAAAACTTAGTTACAATATAATTACTTAGATAGTGAATCGTGATAGGTGATCTGATTAGATAATTCCAATAATGTGTATGTTTTTTTTAACAGTTTTTATTGAATTAAAGACAAGTTTTACAATGTTACTTAACAATAAAATAAAACAATTCTACTTAAAAAGGAAAAAGGACAACAATAACAACGAAAAATATGTGTATATATTACAACAACGACGATAATAATAAAGATGCCTGCTAATTTTAACGAACCTATGAGTATCAACTACTACAAAGTGCATTAGTTAGCTTCTCCTACTTTTGAAAATGAAAAAGAAGTTTATTTTTATCCCTGGTGATATGGAGCTCAATATTGAATTGAAGGTACGCTATTATGACATTTCCTACAGTAGATATAATATTTAGCTAATAACAAAATATGATTAATTAGAATATAGTCTTCTACAATGTCAAATTTTCCAAATATCACATCAGACTCATTAATTGTCTCAACATGAACACTATTATCTCTTACCCAGGGACAGGACATGCTTCCAAAACTCAGAAGATATCCTGCAGGAGAAGAGGAGGGAGGACTGGGTCGGGCAAGATGTCGGAGTAGACGTGTGCGATTTTGCTCCGCACTTGGCAATGTTGTATGGCCGAAACTGTTAAACGAAAATCGAGGAAAAGATCTTCAACCTCTTCCGCTGACGATAATCTTTCCCCAGATGGCAAAAAGTTAAGACACGACGCTTCGCTCTCAGATTCCGAACTGTGTCAATTGGACGAAGTGTTATCTATACTGCATATCGCGGGGGAAGTTATCCCGAAACTTGAACAAGTGTTGGAAAAACTTGAGAATTTGGAACGGTATGTAAAAGCAGTTGACGAAAAAGTTAGTAATTTGCAGGCAAAGGTGGATTGTTTCGAGGCTTTCAAAAACAAACAGAAAAAAAGATCAAAGAACTGGAAGACGAATTGGATTTTGCGAACACGGAACGCGAGTCTTTCAAGGAGAAATTTGACAAGCTGAAATGCGAAATTAATCAGCTCCGGGACGAGAAACTATACATGGAAGTTTATCAGCGGCGGGAAAATCTTCGTTTTTTCGGAATTAAAGAAGAGGCCGGTATGGAGGAGGATGCGAGAGAGGTTTTGGTTGGATTCCTTAAAACAGAGCTTGGTATGGAAAATGTAGATCAAATCGAATTCCAAAGGGTCCATCGTGTTGGAAAACGTGTTTCTTCCAGTGGTAAACCTCGACAAATAATTGCACGTTTTTTGAAATATCCTCAACGTGAAGAAGTTATGTCCAATGCTAGAAAGCTACAAGGAAAAACTTTGGAATTTCGCCGGACCTTCCAAGTGAAATTTTGGAAAGAAGAAAGAAGAAGATGAAGCAATTTAAACAAGCGAAAAAGGACGGTAAGACCGCTTTTTCCAGTAGAGCGGAGCCAGATAAATTGTTTATTGACGGTGTTGAGATGTAAGAACATTAGAAAAATCATGTAGGCCGCGTATATTTTCTAGTTGTATTTTTATTTTTTGCCAAGAACTGTGGAGCAAAAACCAGAATGCTATTAATTAAGATCAAGATTTTAAGGAGCCAGTCAGAGGTGGCACTAACAACTTTGGCTGGCCGATATTTTATTTCTATTTGTATGTATTGTGTTTGTTCTTTGTGGCCATTGTTAGTTTTTGTCATTGTTTTTCGTCTTATTTTCGTCTTGTATTGTTCTCTAGTTGTTATTTTAATGTTTGTCTTGCTTTATTTAGATCTAGGTTTACTTTTTGTTTTACGTTTGATTGCTTTCTTTTGTTATTTTCTTATTCTGTTTTCTTTTGTTATTTGCGTGATATACTCGGCTAGGGCTACTGATTGCCTGTTGTTCAAAAGAACCGTTGGCGTTGGCTTCTCTCATTTGAAGTTTACAGATTATCTCGTCGGTCATGGGGCACCAAAACATAAACTTTAAACTTTTATCATTAAATGCTCGTGGAATTCGCTCTTTTGATAGAAGGAAGTCTATTTTTAATTGGCTGTTTAAATCTTCTGCCGATATATGTTTCCTTCAGGAAACGTATAGCACCCCAGAAGTGGAGAATGAATGGAAAAAACAGTGGAAAGGCAAAACGTTCTTTTCCCATGGAACTAATCATAGTAGAGGCGTTCTTATTCTTGTTAAAGATCAGCTAGATTTTAGACTGCAATCCTTAAAGGTTGACTCGCAAGGTCCTTGAAGCTCTTATTCAGGATTCTCCATTTGCACTTCTAAACATCTATGCACCAAATAAATGTGCCGAGCAGTGCGATTTTTTCAACAAAATTTCAGAGGAGCTTAAAAGCTCGCTCACACTCGCGGATTCTTCTTTTGTTATCGGTGGAGACTTTAATGTGATTTTTGACCATGATCTTGATGGAAGCGGGGGTATTAAGAAAACGAAAGAATCAGTCAAAATTCTTGAGGATATTTGTTTGGAGCAGGATTTGATAGATATATAGCGTGTTAGAAATCCGACGGAGAAACGCTTTACGTGGAGACAGAAGACCCCAATTATTCAGAGACGTTTGGACTATTGGTTGGTAAATGATTCTTTGCAGGACGACATTGTTTCAATAGACATAATACCATCTATTAAAAGAACAACAAATATTTTTTGAATTTGGAAAAATCAAATAAAAATAAAAGTTGTTTGCGGAAAATTTTAAAAAGCGACGGAACAATAGCAGTTGACCCCAAAACAATTATGAGTGATTTAGAATTCTTTTACTCCAATCTTTACAAAAAGAATAATAGTCATTCATCGTCATTTCTAGATGACTTAAAGGAAGTTCCTACCTTGACTGAAGAGTTGCGAATGGTATGTGAAGGAAGGATAGAATATAATGAATGTTTTAATGTCTTACAATCCTTTCCAAAAAATAAAACGCCTGGGAACGATGGACTAACAATAGAATTCTATTTGGCTTTTTGGTCTTTGATTGGGAAACCTCTAGTAGATTGCATCAATTACTCTTATGAGTTTGGAGAACTTTCAAACTCACAAAAACAGGCTATAATCACATTAATTGATTACATTAATTGGCGGCCTATATCGCTAATCAACGTCGATGCGAAAATTATTTCTTAAGTTTTAGCGAAGCGCGTGGAAATGGTCTTGCCAAATTTAATACATCCCAGTCAGAATGCATTTGTTAAAGGTAGGTCCATATTTGACGCAATTGGAACGATTGATGATATTGTGGATTACACCAAACGGAACAGTTGGCCAGGATTTATGATCGCAATTGACTTTGACAAAGCCTTCGATACACTAGACTTTCGATTTCTAATCAGAACATTACACAGATTTCATTTTGGCCCATCTTTTATTCAGTGGATGCGTGTTCTGTATAAAAATGCATCCAGCTGTGTAATGAACAATGGATTTACGACTGGTCCTTTTCTACGAGGTAGAGGTGTCAGATAGGGGGATCCACTCTCCCCTTACCTCTTCATACTAGCGCTTGAGACCCTAGTTATAAAAATAAGAGAGGACTGCAATGTACAAGGGCTTAAAACTGGAGAAGAAATGATTAAACGGTCTCTATTTGCAGATGATATGACCTGTATCTGAAAAGACAAAACATCTTATACAAATCTGGTTCGTATTCTCAACTCTTTTGGAGAGTGTTCCGGCCTAAAGGTGAATGATGAAAAAACAGAAATCATGCCCCTAGGAGATAATATCCTACAGGAGAAAGACTTCCCAACTCATAGTATTTGTGAAATCATAAAAATCTTGGGGATATATTTTGGTTATGATGATAGACAAAGGAAAAACCTTAACTTTAGTCAAACTTTAAAAAGTATAAACGAATCAATCAACGCATGGAAATGGAGAGGGCTCTCCCTTTTAGGAAGAATACAGATAGTCAAAACTTTCGCAATCCCAAAGCTTATGTTCAGAGCATCGGTTATACCAGTCTCTAAAGAACTAATTAAAGAGGCAAACTCAGTTCTCTACAACTTTATTTGGAATGGGAAAGACAAAGTGAAGTGGACTCAAAATGTTGGACATTCAATCTATGATTTGCGCTAAACGAATAACATGTTTAAAGAAATTATTGGAGGATTACTCAAGTCCTTGGAAAGTAATCCTAGACAAACTTCTGTTACCAGTCGGAGGACGTTTTGTATTGCATTGCAACTTTCAGACTTCTAAATTGAAAATCAGTCTACCAGCATATTATAAGGAATGCTTCGATGCGTGATCGGAGGTTAATGGGAAGACTCCAAGTTGTTACGAGGAAATCATTAACGAAATTATCTGGAACAACCAATTTCTTTGTTATGACAAAAAATCGATGTACAGAAGAGATATAGTAAACTTAGGCTTCGTGAAGATTAAGGATTTAATTTCTGCGAACAACTCCTTCTCGTGCGACTTCTCTTCACTTACAAACCCTGGACAAAAATTTTTTCTTATGAGTATTATCAATTCGATTTCCGCAGAATGGCGCTCACTTATTAAAGCATCTACAAACGTAACATCAGCCAGTCCCATACCGCTTACCCCAACCATTAAGTTGCCAAGTGGTAATGTAGTGCCAATCCTTGATATCTCTCCTAAACAGATCTATCAAATCTTTTTGCAGCAAAAGCAAATTGCGCCCACCGCAAAACAGAAATTATCAAACAAGTACTCAAATATAGATATTGATTGGGAAAAGGCTTACACTTTGGCCTTTCATTGCACTTTGGACACAAAGATCAGGGAATTTCATTACAAAATTTTAAATTGTATAATCTTTACAAACGTGAAACTTAATTTAATTGGTGTAGTGGAATCGCCAAACTGCACTTTCTGTCAAGAAGCAGCGGAATCCGTATATGTTGCTATATTCAAAGAATCTATTGCCACGTAGTAGAGTCCATTGCTAGTTTTCAAAGCTGATGTCTTAATACGTACCTTTCTTAATTTCATCAAGGACTCCAGAGGAATCTTTTCTACATTCCCTGCGTTGTATTACTGTCTCACGTCATAAGGTTCTCCCGACCTGCTGCAGCTCCATGAGGACAAATCCATACCGATTTGCGCTTCGTAAAGCAATAAAAATACTACAGCCAAGTCTTCTCCACAACCTTGATACATTCATAACACCTTTTCAAGTAAATGATTTTTGCATTGGGAGAAGACCTGAGAAACTCTCAAATGCAAAATACGCATTTTTCGGCTCGTTGGCACTCTATCGATAGGTATACCTAGTTTAAAACTAACTGGAAACTACTGGCATAATTCTAACCATCCTGTCCCAAGAAACTTGTGTTTGTCATGATTTCAAAGCGGAAAGAAACCAATAATATTGTTTGTGACTGTAATTTAAACTCATTTTCAGAGTCTTTGTTATTATATTGACTCAGACTAAAACTTAGTTACAATATAATTAATTAGATAGTGAATCGTGATAGGTGATCTGATTAGATAATTCCAATAATGTGTATATGTTGCTGTGTTCAAAGAATCTATTGCCACGTAGTATTGTCCATTGCTAGTTTTCAAAGCTTATGTCTTAATACGTACCTTTCTTAATTTCATCAAGGACTCCAGAGGAATCTTTTCTACATTCCCTGCTTTGTATTACTGTCTCACGTCACAAGGTTCTCCCGACCTGCTTCAGCTCTGTTGAGGCCAATCCTCAACAAGAGAACATTTTTTTTGTTTTCCTAGTCCGTTCCATTCCGTTTTGTAATTTATTCTCCCAGCATGCTTAGTGAGCGCGTCTCAGTGTCGTCGTGGAGCGAGAAATAAACCATGTGCTTTGTAACGCGCTAGTCGCCGGGAGTTTCTCATCGTATGGTGAGTCTTAGGAGCTCGTTTATTTCCAAATCCCTTTCCAGCAGTGATTAAGTATTTGTTTTGTAGGTTTTTACTTGCGAGGTGAAGCTTGTTAGCCAAAGATGAGACTCCAAATTCGATCCTGTTGTGTTGTTGAGGAAATATGCTGAGTGTGCAACTCTCGATTATTAAATTTGTGTTCAGGGACCCTTGTGTTGTGAAAGCGCGTTTTCTCCTCTGGACATCTTCGTAAAAACCATACGAGCATCTTGCCTGTGATTACTGGACGTCCAAAGTCTTAACTGTGAAAATATTTGTGCGTGTGAATCGAAGTGACATCAAAGGTCATGACTCAACGAGGAATTCTACTTGAGCGTTTGGAGGTGTTGGACAGATCTCGAAGGGGATATTTGTCTAATATTACGAAATTGTGTCATCAACTGGATGAAAATCTCGGAGACTTCAGTAACGTCGTCAAGATACGGACCGTGCAAACTAGCCTTAATTCCGCGAGGGAGCAGTAT